TGAAATAAAGAATGAGAGATGATTACCTCATATTATGTAATCAAGATAAAAAAAAAAAAAAAAAAACTTTACAGGAACAAAACCATCAAGGCACTTTACCACAACTTGAGCACTTCTAAGTAATTTTCCTTGAAAAACACAACCAAATCCTCCCTCGCCAAGCTTCTTGATGAAGTTGTTGGTTACAACCTTTAACTCTTCATAAGAGAATCTCATGGGCGCTCTTGATATGTGGCCCAGATAATCCTCCTCAACATTCTTTGCATCCTTATTCATTTGAAGGAAAAAAAAAGTGTAGATAAGAAGCACACTAAGAGTGACTCCAAGAGTGGATCCAACTACAACTCCTACATTCTGTCTTCTCTTTCTTTGTGGAATCTGTGCTGGTGATGAACGATTACTTTGTGGAATCTATGCCATTGGAGAATTTTGCACCTTTAAAAACAGAGATTGATTTAAATGTGCAGGCGCTCTCTTAAATGACAAAGCTTTAGATCTAAGAAAGTAGTAGCCAGAATCTGAGTAATTTTTATCAGAAGGTTGAAAAAGAGCATACATACAAGAACAGTTCTTTAAACAGGCTCTCTTGCAGCTCTTTTTGTCTGTTCTGATATAAGCAGGAGAGTTCAAACTTGACAAAGCAGGGTAATCTATATCCTTCAGCTCAAGAAGACTCTGCCATTGAGGAGACTCACCAGATATTGGATGGCAAAACATGCAACTTACCCCTTCAACTTCTCATATAGTGGCAAATCACCCCCTCAACTAGATTCACGCGCAAACTAACCCCTAAACTCATTTACGGTGGCAAAACAGCCCTTCTATAACGGATGATGTAATCATTCCGTTAACTTTCCAGCAACAGTTCTTTAGGTAGCATTTTCGTGGACCCCTCTGATGACTTGACTTTTGTTTAAAGGTATGATATATTTTTTATTATATTAATTAATATTATATATGTTTAAGCGGGGTATTTTTATTTTAATTAATAGTATATTTTTTATTAATTAATATCTTCTCTATTTAATTTTAATATATTTAATTTTTTAATAAAACAAAAATATAAGAATTTATTAATAAAATTTTATAATTATCTTAATTAAATATCACATATTATTAAATAAATTGATATATATATAATATTATAATTTTAATAATATAAAGATTTTTATTATTAGATAATATAAAAATTATATTTTTAAATAAAATAACAGCTAAACATGTCAGTTGTCTTAAATTTTGTTCTATATAAAATTGTTTCTATTATTATTTTTTTATATTATAATATTAACTTAGGAAAAATGAAAAATTAAAAACTTTAAAAAATAATTACATAATAAATATAATAAAATTAAGGTTACTGTTATATTATATATATTTAATGATTGTAATTAAATTTTTAATATTTTAAATGTTAAAATATTTTGAATTTTTTCTTAAATTGTAAATATTAAACATTAATTAATTGGTAATTAACCAAATTAACTCATCTTCTTTCTTCCACTGGGGAACTCAACTTAATCTTGATGTCCTTGCAAAATTCACCTTTGCTCACGCAAAACTACCACAATAAGAGTCTTTTTCTCTACTACTTCTCGCCATTGATCCCCTTTGTCTTCGCCTCAATATCTCTGCTATTCCTTCACTACCTTCTTTTTCCTCTCATTTTGTTCTTTTCCGAACTTGGTGGTGTTGCTTTCGTTTGGCATGGTTTCGCCGCTGATGGAACAACAGGACATGATGTAGCTTTTGCTTGGCTGGATTTCACTATCTAATCTGGTTTTGGGCTCGTCGATTGGCAATCGTTGAGTCGTAAACGGGACAAAATAGCCGTAGATGGAGAAGGGAGAAGAAAAGAGAGAAGAAAAGAGGGAAGAAAAGAAGAAGATGAACAAGAAAAATGTGTTCCCAGTCTAGTTTGTTAATTGATTTTGGGCATCAAAATGGGTATAAACTCCATCAAATGGGTATAAACTTTAGCTGGGTTTCACTCTTGCTATTGGCCCCATGTCCTATTATTGGAATAAGAATTTGCAGAAGATGCCTGGTGAGGGATTGGGGCCATGTTTGGTAAATTCAAAGGATTATGAAGCATAATTTAAAATTTTCATTGATTATTGTTTTTCTAATCTAAATTTGATGAGGTGGAGTGAGTATATTGTCAAGCGGGGCCCTCTTAATGAGGCCAACGTTAATTTTAATGGAATAATGTATAGAAGGGCTTTTTTGCCACCGAAAATGAGTTTGAGGGTTAGTTTGCGCATGAATCTAGTTGAGGAGGTGATTTGCCACCATACGAGAAGTTAAAGGGGTAATTTGCATGTTTTGCCATATTGGATTATCTGGATAACACCCAAGATTTGACCGTGAAGGATCTATCAGCCTGAAAAACATAGGTCCACTTTTTTCAACCGGTTGTCGGCAACTGCATCCTTCTTCTAGACAAATTCCATATTTTCCGTAGGCCAGTGGGTAATCACATCGATTAAGTTGATCCCCAAAGAAATCATCAACTTCCTCCCAGTTTGATTCTACCCACTTGAAGAACCTCAAGTGCCCATCAAAGCCTAATTGTGTAAAACTAATCAAATCCTATAGAAGAGAGACCAAAATTCATGTTCGTCACCTCAGCATAAAATTACCCCGTTTGGCCTATTTTTTGAGACCCAAGGTATTGATGATAGACTACGGTAGTGTCGACTCTGCAGAAGCTACAAAATAACCATAATTATCAATTGAAAATGAAAATAAACCCTCACTCCAATTTGTGGTTGAAATATTTGCCACCAATTTCTGCCCAAAAACTAGCCTCTGCCCAATAACCAAAGAGTTTGTCGGATGATCAAAAGACTGCCAAACCGTCTCATTGTTTCTATCAAACATTATAAGGTTACCCTGATGAGTTAACTTCATTTCTGAAACAAATTTACCTGTTGTGTTTGTAGACCAAACCAGAGTGTCGTGATCATCAGTGTTAAATCCCCTTCTTGAGAAAATTGCAATTTTGCCCCAAGTCCAATCGGCTTGTTTCGATTAGTAGACCATACCATTTGTGTAGAAAATTTGAAGTTGCTACCAAGTTTAGGTTGGAAGATGGAAATAGCAAAGAGGCAGGGGGTTCCTTCATATTTGCAGTGGAAGCCACAAACAAAACTCCCATTAACCAAGATAGGTCTCACCCATGCTGATTCCCAAAAACTGAAGTTATTTGGTACGATTTTAGTCCAAGAGACGGGTGGCATCACAGTTGATGGATAACCAAGAGCTTCAACATTTGTCAGAAGCAATGATATTAGAAACAGAGATAGAAAGGTAGCAAGAAAGCAGACGGTATTCCTTCGCCCACCGGCTACCATTGCTCTTATAATTGATTGCTCCAATATTATATAATTGAGCTGCAAGACAAGTCAAATGAATTAATAAAAAACAAAATACAAAGCAGGAAGGACTGGTATGATAGTCAGAAGATTTGTTTTTTCCTTAAATGTAAACTTTGCTCAGCACTCAATGTCTATAAACTTCGAATTCCTTAGTCAAAATAAAAAAAATAAAATAAAATTTAAGAAACTTACTTTTGACAAGTTTAAAATAAATACATTAACTTTAAGGTTTGATCATATTTTTTATTAAATTAAGAAATGAAAACAAAAAATAGCTATTACCATTTCTTCCCTTAAAAATGATTGCTCCGAACATCTCTCATAGTCTAAAACAAAATTATCAACTCAAAATTAAACATATCCATATCTCAACTAATACTAGAAAGCTATGGGACAGAAATTTCCTTTTCTTTTGTTATTA